CTTTCCCCCCCCCCGGCATCACCCCCAAACAAGGGGGCCCCCCCCCCCCCACCCCCCCCTCGGTTTCCTCGTGCACGTGAAGGTGAATGGACAGCTGTCGCAGACGTGCTACCTGCGCGCCCTCGACAGCTGCTACAACCGCCTTGCGGCGAAAAAGACGGCCGCCGCCGCTGCTGCCGCCGCTGCCGCTGCCTCTGCCGGGGACGGGGAGGCGGAGGAGGGAGGCGGAGACAAGCGGGCACCGTTCGTGCTAGGCGACGTCGAGCACGTGCTTTGCCACTCCCCTTACAACAAGCTGGTGCAGAAATCGTTCGCGAGGATGGCGTTCTCCGACGCGAGACGCCTCAAGGGGACAGGGAAACCCCTGGGGGAGGGGCAGGAGGAGGCGTTGGGGAAGTGGCTCGACGTGCCCGCAGAGGTGCGTGCGTACCGTCGTGCGGGGGGCGGGTTGCCCGTGAGTGTTTCCTTCTGCAGTTGCGAGGAGGCCGCTCACTGCGGCTGAGCAATCGCTTGTACGGCAGTAGTTTTTTTTTGGCGAGACAACGGTAAGAAAATGCGCTGCCACGCCGGCGGGTGGAGGGGCCACTAAAGAGCGTTGTGTAGCATCCCTCTAGTTTTCTGAGTGAGACCACCGTGCTGACAAACCAAGCTGATGAACGAGAACGGTGTAAAAACCTGAGAGGAACCGGGAAGTGCCTGACCCCTCCCGTGCACAACGCGCAATTGCTGCTTGGAACAGCGCGGGTGTGTGGGCGTGTGCGGTCCTGTTGTGATGTTGTGATGATGTAGCAGGGAGTTACTCAGGAGACCGGGTGCAAAGGGCTGGGAGGGGGGGTTGCCGCAGCAAGTTTGTCAGCCGTTCTCCTCAACTAGGAGGTGCTTGCGCGTGCTTGCCCACGAAGGGGCGCGCACGCACCCGTCCGTGTCGCGACAACTGTTGAGCGAGTTGTAACGATCAAGTTTTCTTTCAAAAGGGGATGCGATTTGTCCCGTCCGGCCAATCGGCGGTCCCGGGGGGGTCTAGGGTGACAGACAATCCTCTTCCTCTGCTGCTGCTGCTTAATGCTCACTCACTAGAAGATATCCGAGTTGCGCTAGAAACACCGAAGGGGGAGGTCCGGAAGAAGATGGCACACACCTTGCCTTCCGTCCTTCCCGTCCCTTGCTTCGGTCCCTTTCTGATCTACACGAATCCATCCAAGTGATCATCCTTTTTTGTCGAGCGAACGCCCCCGCCCCGCCCCGCCCCCCCCCCCCCCCGTTGTGGTCTTGTACGCCCACGCAGGAGACGTACGACGACCGCGATCTCGAGAAGGCCCTCAAGGCGTTCGCCGGGGTGTCCTCGGGGGCTTACCGGAACAAGGTCGAGCCGGGGTGCCGCCTCAGCAAGCAGATCGGCAACACCTACACCGCCTCGGTGTTCGCCAACATCGTTTGCCTGGTGTGCGCCCGCGGGGCGGCGCTGGAGGGGGAGACCGCGCTCGTGTTCTCGTACGGCAGCGGGTGAGAAAATAACGGTTGAAACTCTGTTATTGTCACAATTTTCCTGAAAATGCTATTTCAAGGCCGTTGAAACATGTTTGGTGTCTGGTGATACATGGTAAATGCTTATCTGGTATTGCCACTCTTGTTTGTGGAAGTATAGGGACGATGGGGGTACTCGCGCGCTGGTTCCCGAGTGGCCCTTGAAGAGAGTGTTACCGTGTATGGGCATACTACCAACGTGTCGTTGTATGAGTGCTTGTGTTCATCGTCTCTTTCGTCGTTGTTGTTGAGCAAGCAGTGTTGGAAAGAGTTGGAAGGCCAACGGGGTGGGGCAGGAACAGACCAACGTCTAGAGGAAGGTCAGGTTACAGCTGTACGCGGGCTGTAGGTGCGACGAGAGAGCTCTTTTCGCGTCGCGCGCCTGGGAGGAGGTCAAGAGTTGATTCGGTTCGGAAGGGAAGATTACTGTCAACAGCGAGTGCGGCCGGTTTGTTCCTACCAGTATGAAGCTTACTCGCCCCGGCAGTATTCTATGGGAGTATCAAGGTGTTTTGAAACGCGACCGGAGTCGCCCACGAAGAGCAAGGAATCTCACGAACGAGCATGTCGTGCCGGTTCTCAGGTTTGTGGAAAAGCACACTCAGAAACCCAACCCGAAGCAAACACGTAGCCCTGCGGTTTGTTGGCCACTTGTCTTTTATGAACCCTCTTCCCGCAACGCCGTTGCTGCCCAAACCCTCAGCGCGGTGGCCACCATGTACGAGCTGCACTTCCGAGACACTACCGCTGTGACGGCGGCCGCCGCAGCAGCAGCCACGCCTACCTTCAGCGTCGCCAAGATAGCGGAAGCGGTGGGCCTGTCGGAGCGACTGGCCGATCGCGAGCGCTTGCCGCCGGCGGAGCTTGACGCCGCGCTCGCGGCGCGCTCCCACGCCCACGCCCTCGCGTCCTCTTCTTCGCCTTCCGCGGGAGGAGGAGCAGGGGGGGGTGGTTTTGTATTTGTCCCCGGGTTTCCGTTAGATAGGCTTTTCCCGGGGGTGTTCTACTTGAGAGGGATCGGTGGCGATGGGGTGAGAGGGTACGGTAGGCGGGATAAGGAGGCGCCGCGGGCGCGGGGCGGGCGGGCTCTCGCTCCGTCCCTTGTTAAGAAGGAGGAGGCGTTGGGGGCTGGGGATAGGGAGGAAGAGGTTGCGACGACTGCGACAATGGGGAGCAGGACGGAGACGAGCAACAGCGGCGAGGACGACGAGGAGGAAGAGAAGGCGCGACCGGTGGCAAACGGGGCCGTGCCCTCAGAAGCCCCTTCTTCGGACAGCAGCCTCGCGAATAGGGCCGCCAAAGTTGCTCCTCCGACGGCGGCGGCGGCGGCGGGCAGTAGCGAGAAGAAGACCGTTCTCGCCGCGAAGGAGGCGGCGGCGGCAGCGGCGGCGGCGGCGGCCACGTCCCCGGCTGCTGGCGGCAAGCTGGGCGCGCTGCTACTGCCGAGGGTGGTCGTGACCGGCGTGGCGTGCGGGCTCCCCGGGCAGGAGGAGGTGTTCGAGCGGGACAACCTGGCGAGGCTGCTGGCAGGGCAGGGTTGCGTGAAGAAGCTGAGCCCCGGTAGCACCACCGCCTTGGTGGAGAAGAACGTCGTGCAGGTGAAGATAGAGGGAGAGAGAGACAGACAAACCGAGAGAGACAGAGACAGAGGCAGAGACAGAGACAGTCAGACAGAGAATACCAAGAAGTAGAGGCTGAGCATAACCTCGAGAGCCTAGCCTAAACCCTTGCTTTCTTCTGTGTCGCCAACATTGTACATTGACGATCACATGTGAAAACTACTGTGTGCTACTACATGTGTATATTCGTCTAGCAGATAAGCGAGAGAGAGAGAAAGAGTAGATGAAAAGAGAGAGAACGCGGCGGAGAGCTGAGCATAACCTGCAGAGCGTAGCCTGACCCCTTGTTTCGTTCGACTTAGCCATGTTGTAATATTGCTACATGTGAATGCTACCACATGTACATGTTATGTACGTCGAGCAGACGTCATCGCTGGAGAGAGGCTGGTGCTATAGGAGACAAGCTTTTTGTCACCGCTGCGCACTGCTTCCGGGCACAGCCGTCCCGTTTCATTTCGCGTGTTGTATTTCGTTTGGGGCATTTAATTTCGAGGAATTTTTCATCGTCTTACCACCGCAATACTCCTCTTTTTGCTCGGGTTGTGGTTGAATAGTCGTCGCTCGGTAGATCCCTAAGTGCGCCCGGAGCGCGAAGCACGTTAGAAAACTTGTTGTCCAGGCGAAGCGCTTTCCTCGTTTCCAACCGCTCGGATGCGGGTGTGTGTTGTGCAAGAGGTTTTGGGTTCGACTCTGCCGCTTTTCAGCTGATGCGCCCCCTCGACAGGTCCGGGATTTGCTTGGCGCCAAGCGTTCCAACTTGCCCTCGGCCTCTTCTCTGTTGATGATGTTTTTTCCATCGTTTTTTTTTTTTTCATGTACTTCCAACCATGGGACCGACTACCATTTGGAGATACATCCACAGTCGAAGGGTGTGTGTTGGAGTCCTTGTTGTTGTGGTGGTGTGTGCTCCTGGAATATTTTGCAACGAATAATCCTCGTGGACCATTCTTTCGTAGGTTCTTACCCGCATAGTGTGCTCGCTGTCGCGCGCGCTTGCGATTGGTTCCGGTTCGTCAGGTCAAGAGGCAGCCGGACGGCCAGCCCCCCCTGCGCATCCCGATCTCCAAGCCGAGCCAGACGATCAAGCTCGCCGCCACGATGGGTAACCTCGACATGGCCCTCTATGGCGTGTCTCCCAGCATCGCCGCCACCATGGACAAGGCCGTTAAGGTGCTGCTTGCTGCTGCTGCTGCTGCTAATAAATAAAACGTGTACAGGTTCCCCCCAATCGTTTGCCAAATCATTTCGCGGACGCCGAAGAGAGCATTGGTGCCGTCATCCCCGCGCGAAACAGGAAGCCTCCCCCAGACGTAGATTGTGTCCGTTTCGGGAGTCGGTGCGGCTGGTGTGTTTGCATGTTCAAACAACCAGCGGGTTTCCAGTCGCCGAGCCCTCTGTTCGCAACCATGTCATCCGCCGAGTATTCTCTCGAAGATCTCTTTCGCCCACCGGGTACCTGACGCCCGTGGCATGATTCACCCCAACTATTTGCTACCTTTTTTCTGCTCCGGGTTGGCTAAGGTGGCTGTGGTGGCCGGGCTGGAGGCTCTGAAAGACGCGGGCATTGTTACGGGGGAGGGGGAGGGGGGCTGGATGCTCCCGGGGCACATGCGTGACACCACCGGCGTCATGTACGCCTCCAGCTTCCCCGCCCTGGATGCCGCCATCGGAGAGGTCAGGAACCGTCTTGTTGTTTCTGTTGTCGTTGTTGTTGTGGTTGTGGTTGGTTGGTGGTTGGTTTGACATTTGTGTCGATCACACCAAGTGCTAGGTAGTGTCATGGGTGGTCGCGTTTTTTTTTTTTCTGCGTGTCATCGATGCTGTCGATTGCCTTGTTATGATGATTTGCGTTGGTGGTATCTTGGGTCGTGCCTTGAGGCGACGATGGCATTACAGGTCACTCGGAAGGCTGACTGTGACGATGGCAGTCTTGCCAATCATGCGAGGTCAAGCGCAGCAGAGGAGAAAGGGGGGCCTGCAGAAGGAAGTTAGGGAGCGTGGGGATACAACCAAAACGATGTCAATCAAACCGACTGTTGATGCGACGACACTGATACCGCCGCAGCAAGCAGCGTCATCGCATGGAGACAGTCAAGACCCAGCCGCAAGTCAACTCCTGTTTTCTGTTTCAAAAACAGCGTGTGTTCCTTTCGACTTTGCGGGTTGCGTTTAAGCCGACAGTCTTTCTGGGACTTGACTACTCATCAAGGGTTGCCCCGATATGGGCGGTGGTGCAACTCGACTCAGGTTGTTCACGTACACTCGACGCCTTTTTATCCTCCCTCCCCCGCGCACAGGTGATGAGGTTCCTGCGCAGTCGATGCATCACCCGGGCTAAGAAGGGGCAGCTGGTGGCGGCCCTGAGGGAGAGGCTGTCGGCCGTATCGCCGAACGGAAAGGTTTCCGACGAGGACGAGGAAGCCCTCAAGGGGCTTGAGAATGTACGTGCGCTCTCAGTAGGTTGTTGCTGTTGTTGTTGTTGTTGTTGTTGTTGTTGTTGTTGTTGTTGTTGTTGTTGTTGTTGTTGTTGTTGTTGTTGTTGTTGATGCTTTGGTCGTTGTGGTCGTTGTTGTTGATGACGATGAATATGGGAATGGTACTGTCGTTGTTGTTGCCATTGCTGGTGTGGGTTGTTGTTGATGATTGGATTGTCGTTGTGGTTGGGTTTGTTGGATGGTGATGTTATCGTCGTTGTTCGTGCTGCTTTGGTCGTTGTCGTCGTTCTTCTTGTTGGTGTTTTCGTTGGTGTTGCGGCTTTGGTGGGCTTGCTTTCTTCTCTTGTTGCCACTTCTATTGGTCATGTTTCGTTTTCCGGCAGCTGGAAGGGTAGGTCCCACGAAGCTGACGTGCCACGTGCCCGTTCATTTTATGTGGACCCCCTTGATGTTGGGTGCTGTCGTCTTCAGGCGATGCTCACCAAGAGCACGGTCGATCTTCGCTCCCTCGCAACCGCACGCGAAGAGGAACCCATCCACTACGAGTTCGACCGCAAGTTCCTCTTCAGGTGAAACCGCAAACAACCCATCTTCGAGATAAGAATAACACTCCTGTCTTCTGCGTAAATCGCCGGGGAGTCGTAACCCGCCAGAACGAGAAGCTATCCAGTGTTTGTTACGCCAGGATATGGAGAGATTTCGGTTAAGAACGTGGTAGCTGTCCCCATCGCAGTCAGATACACCGCGTGATTCACGATGGCACAAATCACCGTTGCACTTAGATCCGCCGCCTGATTCATGGTAGGTGTGCATCAGCAAAAGGACAGGAATCAATTTGCGCTTGACGAAAAATAGCACACAATCAGTCGCCCCACGTGCTCACGCGGTGCGTCATCGAGGGCTGCACTGACCCTTGAGTTTGTTCTTGAGGCCAGTGATCGCTATCCTTAGGTCGGTGTTGTTTGCCCTCTGAGGATTCTGCTCCGCCCGTCCTCTTGCCTCCATGCGCCTCTCGCGACGCCAACTGGAAACCCGGACGCAACCTCCGAACCAACCGACCCGTCGTTCTATTCCGCCGCTACCGCCGCCAAAATAAGAGTGCTGGTCCTGGGCAACGCTCAGCTGGCTCAGATGGTCGGGGCCCGTGGGCCCAACATGCAGACGAACGCGGCGTGCGCTGGCTCCACCCTCGCCGTCGCCATGGCCCAGGTTTGTACGGTATTGTTGTAGCACGAAACTCGTTCGTTGTTAGCTCTCGTGCTGGTCCTGGCTTCGGCAAGCCGCGCCTATCGCGCGCGTGTATTCATTCTCTTGTTGTGACACTGATGATTGTGATTTCGTTTGCTCTGTAAGTTGTTTTTTGCTGTGGCCTACGTATTTCGCTTTCGGTGATGTTGCGTTTCAACATCGCTGCCCCCTCCCCCCATGTGTAACGGTCAACCACTAGGCAAGAACACCCCCCCCCGATAGATACTGTAGACCAGGGAACGCATTTTGAGCCACCTTTGGCAAACGTAGGAAGGAACGATCGGCCATCGGTGATCGGTCCTGTGGGAACAATGGTCCGTCCTCTCGAGGTCGCGTGGTCAACGGTCTAACCGCTAAAAGGCATGCAACACATGAGTACCCCCCCCCCCCCCCCCCTTGTGTACGTTATGAATAGGACATGATCCAGATCGGGCGGTGCGAGCGCATGGTGGTGATCGCGGGCGACGATGCCTCTGGGGAGGTCCTCCTGCCGTGGATCGGGAACGGCTTCCGCGCCCTCGGAGCCTCTAGCATCGCCGCCGACCCCTCCGACGCCGCGTTGCCCTTCGACGCGAGGCGAAACGGGATGCTACTCGGGGCCGGCGGTATCGGAATGGTGTTAGAGACGGAGGTATGTGCGATACTCGAGTTTTTTTTTTATGATTTGTCTATGATTCAAGGCATTGGATAGGACACCACGGGCATGTACCTAGCGACGCTCAACAAGACCGACCTGTGTCATCACTGGGGGTCTTGGGAGGGAAGCAGGCCCGACGGGTTTCTCGTGATGAAGGCGTGTTTGTCCTGGGCGTCGTCACAATGGGGAAGGCAATACAGCGAGCTGGGGGGTCATGAGTCGGAGGCGAGCACCGAGGCTGAAAACCTTCTGAAGTATGTGCTACACCACCGAAAACTTGAGAAAAAGTTGTCAGTAATACGCGAAAACAATTTGAAACGCATTAAATAGAGGATCATGTTAATTTGACCAATAGGCGAACTTCCTGCGGGCTGAGGGCTGCCGAGCTTTCAGGGATTCCAATCCTGGGCCGCTCGTGCGTCTAAAGCCCTTTTTTTGTCATTTCTCCGCCCATAGACCTCGCCTCGCGGCGAGACTTGCATCTACCGATGGCCCTGAGTTGCGAGGCCCCTCCCGCCGTGCCGCGCGCTCTTGGGGCGGACGTAGCGCAGCGCTAGCGAGGGAAGACAGTCGCGTCTCCGAGATCTACCACGGCTGCACCAATCAGAGCCCGGTTTGTTGACAGTGCAGGCCATTCACATACACTCGGCGAAGAGGCTAGTCCTTTTAGGTACATCTGCACACCCTCGCCACACACGACAACCGAGCAACCAAGTCTCCGCATGCCACGAGACAAAACACCCTACTGCTGCAGTGCGTCTCTCTTTCGTTCCCGACGAAAAGCGGGGGGAATTGCGGCCGGTGTCGTGTGCACAACAGTCTGCAAACTGTGCCTCAAGTCGAGCACGTCACTGCTTGGTCGAAAGTGGTGGCCTCCATGTCGGACTACTATTTCTCGGAATATTCCTCTTGGGCAGGCGCAACCCGTGCACAGCAACCCAGCTTCCACCGTACAGCAACCTTTGCATAGCACTACCCCTGTAACGGTGCACGTCAACCGAGCCCGTAGCCCCTGTCGCGTCGTGGCTTAGGCTTACACGTAGAGCAACCTAGCGTTTCACCTGTCCCGCCTTACCTGTACAGCAACCTAGCTTTTCACCGCCAGCCGCACACAGCAACCTACCTTTTACCGCCGCGGGTTGCCGAGGCGTGCTTGCACGGTTTGGGTGGGGTTGATCGCCGTATGTCCCATCCATGTGCGTGTCTAGTCCAACCGGAAATAGTTGGTGTTGGTGACCTTCATCACCCCCAACGAATTCCCGGACCCAAACCATGCCGATCCATCCGCCATACAACAAATCTATACCAGGTTTGAAGCACGCCTTGTCCCCCGACGAAAGTGCCGGCAGCGTTCGTGCAGCGTTCGAAGGCCTCCTTATTGGAGATCGGGTCGGCCTTCCCCCAGGGAGATACACCCGTCCGCAAACAGGTGGATGGATGGATGGCATCCACCTGTTTGCGGACGAGTGCATTTCCCTGGGGAAGGTCGACCCGACGTCGAAGAAGGAGGCATTCGCACGCTTCACCAATGCTGCTGGCACGAGTGTCGGGGGTAAGGCATGCTTCAGACCTGGTGCGGGTTGGGTTCGAGGTAGGGTCATATCCTAGGTTTGGAACGGTGCGAACAAAATTGTACATCAGGTCTACGGTTCGGAACTAGAAATCAAGAGCTCATGAAGGAGTACTGCGAGTGCATCCATCGGGGTAAATATCCTCCTCCGCCGCCCCATCGGGGGTGCTTTTATTTGCTCTGGCAGAGCATACAGCAGTACCCACTGCTGTGGGACGAGAACTGTGGGTTAGGTCATGCACACAACATGTCACAAGAGGAAGGACGTACGCATCAGTCATACACCCGGTCATGAGTGGGCCCTTGCAGGTCCACAACGAGACAAAGCCCGATTTTCCACAACAACAATACATCACGAAGGAAAAATCTCGTTTGTTCCCCTCATGTTTTTTTTTTTTCCTGCTTTGAAACACACGGGTTTTAGTCACGCGCAACCGCCGCCATCGCGGTGAAAAGCCCGACACGTTTTTGAAAATGATTCACAGCATCGAACATAGACGCGCAGCACACGTCAACCGTATTTTGCAGGCCTACCGCAGGGGAGGGTAGCGTGTACACAGCCTTCGTTGCTCGCGCGTACCCCTATAGCAGCGACGTTTTTGCATTTTCGTGTCACCATTCCCATCACACACACTTCATCATCACCCCTGTATCTTTCTTCTCTTCCGGATATCACCTTCCCCTCCCGCCTCCATCACCGCATATGCCTCCCCCGCCCGCCCAAGGGGAGCGGGGGGGGGGCGATGCTTAACCCTAGTTGCACTAATATACTAGACGGCAAGGTGGTACTTTTCGGCGCTGCGCTTTTCTTCTGAGGGTGGGGGGCGGCACACTGTCTGGACACCCCCAAAACAAAATGTTGTGCAAGATTTGTCGACTTGTCGGGGAGAAAGGAAGCCTGGCCTTGAGGGCCGGCGGCATTGAGGAGTTCGGAAATATTTCCCTAGCTGATCCGTAGCTTACGTCCATCCAAAGTGCGTTTTTTTCGTCATCGCTGTGCTGATTGAAATAATTTTAATAGTTTCAGCTACGCGCGAGGGACCTCGCCGGTGCCCGTTCGTCGTGCCCGACCAGCGAAACGGCGCTGCCCTAAGAACCGCCGCCGCTTTTTCAAGGCACTGAAAGATTTCGATGGTTCCGTCTGTGACGCGGGTGTATACTTGTACGCACCACCGACGTTGTATGCATAGAAAGCACAAGGCTCGTGTAAAGTAAAGGCCCTCGAATGTTCTCAGGATAGAAGTCGGGAGTTTCACTTTTTACCGTCCGTAGATCTATCCCCGAAGTGTTGTCTTCCTTGAGGCAACAGATCTCAACTGTAGGACGGCAACACTCGCTCTTTTTCGTCGTCCCACAAAACGGTGTCTTGTGCTGTAGCTCTCGCCCCGCGCGCGCCTTATGTTGCCTGCCCCCCCGTGCGCATGTCGAAATCACGGAAGACCCTATCATTCTCTCTCCCCCATTGAACCTGTCTGTTCCCCACGCGCTACTTTTGCTTTCGCCGTTCGGATCTTTCCCGTCTCGGAACCATGTGGCAACACGCAAAAAACAAAAAAAACTTAGGGGGCCGCCGCTCGGAGACACTGCGAAGCCGTCGGAATCCGAGCTTCGCAACCTCCGCCGCCGCCGCCGCCGTCCACCAACGGGGTGATGAAGGTGCGTTGGGGCGGCGACCCGAGGAAGGGGTCTCACGCGAACAACGCAGGACTGCATGCATGTTCTTTCTTGTTTGGTTGTGTAGTGTGCTCTGGGTAAATGTCTGGAGTTGGGAACCGGTTTGTTCGCCAGTGAGGTGTGAGGTGTGGAGGGCTTGGGAATCTGTCAGCCAATCGAACGAATCGGAGCTGCTGTTGCCGCGCTTGGGTCGCGGAGTGTTCGCAACGACTGGCAACACGGTGGTGGAGTGGGGGCGCGGCGGGTAAATTAACGCACACATCGTTGAAGCCAACTCGGTTGGGGTCGTGCGACGTGGCGCTTTGCATAAGCATGGCTCACTGCGTCATCATAGTCATTGCATGCCTTGGCGTGTTCAATAGCCATCGCGTCTACCATACCATTGCCAAGAGCTAGCGGCGGGGTTGGCTCTGATCGTTGGTGTCTGTTCGCCGCGCCGATGTAGCTGTCTGATCACATCTTATCTTTGATGGACTCGTTATCATGTGCAAATATATGCCACGCGTATGCGTTTTTGTGTTGGTGCCATCTGCATACATTTACGTAAATCTTTTTGGTTGCGACTTGCTGCTGTTTATTTTTTTGCTTGTTTGGAGCAGGCGAGGTTGCTTGAGACCCAGATCTCCAACTCGGCCTACCACGGGGCCTCCATGGACAAGCACCACATCGCCATCGAGCTAGAGGTGCGTCAAGCCTTCCCAGCGCCCTCTATATGTCCGTACTTGTCGTCGCCCTTTCTGTTTCGGTTAGTTTAACAAGCCCGACCCACCCCACCTCTAGCCTCTCTTTCGGATGCAGAGGAAGGCTCTCATTTTTTTTTCCGTTGTTGTGTGAGTTTTTTTGCACCCGTGTCTATGCTCCTGTGACGGTCACGTGGACCTCGTGCTCCGTTTTAGTTGCTTTAGCGCCAACGGGTTTGTATTGAAGTGATCTTGGGATACAGATAGCTTGTTGGCGATGGTGCATGCGATGTTGCAGGCCCGTCGAAAAGAGCGTTGGGTAGAGTCGATGCTGCACTACTGGCAGTAGGGGGGGGCAGCTGTTGGCTTATGGCGAAATGTTTTCATGATCATGGTCCCTTGCACGTGCATTTTTCCTGACGAAGAAACTACGAGACCAACAAAAAAGCCAACAATGATAGGCAAACGATTTTTTCGACGAATAAACGCTTGCCGTGTAACAAACAGACTACAATTGACCGTCCTTAACACCTGCAATAACAAACAGCGGTTCCTCGTGGCCATGGAGCGGAACTGGGGCATCAGCCGGGACGCAATAGCCGAGTCGGGGGTGTACTTCTCCCACGAGACCTGCACACACGCCACCCCCACCGCCTCCTGCGCCTTCAACGAGGTGTGGGCCTTGCGGCAGTGCTTCGGGGAAGAGCTCCTTTCTCGACTCGTCATCATCAACACCAAGGTATTAGGTGTTGAGTTGGTCATGGAAGCGTGTGCGCGTGCTGTTGTTATTTCTGTGAGTTGGGTGGCGGTGATCGCGAACTTGTCGCGATCTCGGCGCTTTTAGTGTCGAGGTGTTTTGGAACGTCTTTCTTTCCCAAAAAACAACCATTATCAGCATGTCTTGTCTAACTTTACGCACACTTAACGTTACACACACGCATGTCGTGGCACGTTAACATACTTGGCTGTGCACGCTTTCCTCTTCATTTTTGGTAGCGCGTACCACCATACCAGGCGCCTTGTTTCGGTAGCTAGCCTGTCACCACAGAAGGACTGCGTGCCAATTGGACCCGTACGGCTTCTAAATGGTACTGGGCAGAGACGCCTACGCCCTGAGGCCCCGAAAGACAAGGTTGTCCCTACAGCGGAGAAATTTATCTTTGTGATTTTCACACCCGTTATCTTTTGTTGATTCTGCGGGGTATCATGCTTCTGGAAACGATGACGCCCTTGAAGCGGGACGGTGTCTATCACGAACGATTGCTTCTCGAAACTTACGGATTTTATCCTACACGACAGACCTTCCATGAGGTTACAACTCGATGGCTGAAGTACCAGGCCCTATGACCACAATGCATGTCATTCGTCCACTCATTCCCCCGTTTTCAGCGTGCTGTAGCCTACTGCGTCACCCGCCCTGTCATTGCATTCACTGACTGACCAGTTCCTTAACCCCCACCTTTCTGTTTTGACGGTGCAGGGGTTCACTGGTCATCCTATGGGCGTGTCTTTCGAGGACGTGGCAGCAGTTGAGGTCCTTCATCGCGGTATCATCCCGCCGACAGCCAACAACCCTGCGGTCGATCCCTCGTTGGTGAGAGAGAGGGAGATACAAGGGTAGCGTAGTGTGAGCATCGTCATTTGCCCGACCATCGATGGTTTTGATGTCCCCGTTGGGCGACTTGTGTATTGGAAAAACTTGCCGGGGGACGTCCACCAAGAGGAAGCTGGCGGCATGGGGATCAGAGGGGCTGTGAATCGATTCGCACGGCAACTGCACCGAAAAGGAGAGAGAGAGACGCCTTCCAACGACCACTCGCGCCAACCCCCCCGCCCGCTCCCTCGTGTTTTCTCTCCCCTTTCTCCCGCAGGGGAAGCTTCGGCTAAGTCAAGGGGGAGCCTATGCCGCCAAGTACGCGATGCGGTTCGCGGCCGGCTTCGGTAGCCAGGTGGCTTTCGCGCTGTACGCCGCCGTCGATTCCGTTGACGACGTCGCGCAGAGCTGATGCGGGGATGAGATGTTTGCCCGACCCCCTCCAAATAGCAGGTCGAATTCAGGGGGGGTTTGATCGTTTTTGGTCTCGCTCACAAGCAAACTCGGGAAGGTGCACTGAGGAAATATTTTTTACTGCGTACCTTAGCTTTGTTTGTGGACGATGGGCGTGAAACCGGCTACAGGTGTTGCTTTTTGTTGGTGTGCTTCACTGAAGCTGTGGTTGGTCTCCAGGTTTGGCGCCGCCGCTGGCCTTGTGCCAGCAGCACCTCGGTATGTATGCGCCACATCATGATGTGGTGGCTCGAGGAGATGGTGTAGTTCACCTGACGATGTCAGGAGCACGAGGGTGGCGTATACCATTTCACTGTTACACAAGAGGCGTGTCATCGAGAGCACAAACTGACAACGTGCCGCAGGTCTGCCCTTTCCGTTTAAATGAAGTGGTTCGGAAGAGAAATGTTGCCGGTGGCGAGCCAGGGTCGGAATCAGAAAACGAGCGGAGAGTTGGCCCCTCTGACAATCCTACAGTACGTACCTAGACTTTCCATCAGTGCCCCCACGGTTGGTTTCCCGCAGGACGAGCAACAACTGGTTGGTTCCGCATGGGAAAGCCCTGCTGACCCCCGGGGAAGTTCGGAGAGAGTTGGACGATGCATTTACTCCCGGGGATGACGATGTGTATTCCCGTTAAATGACTCGCTGTCTCCGTTGGCGCCAATGCGTCGACAAAAGATGTGCCTCAAGCGTGCCCGATTATTGGAGGATGGGTCCGCGCCCTATCTTGCTGACACATGAAATGCTTGACGGAATCCCGTTGGCTTTTCTGTTGGCTTTTCTCGTGAGAGGTGTTACGAGGCACCATTTTGGTTGCACAGTGGCCCTTCCGCGGAGAATGAGTTGTGTGTGCGCTGATGAACTCATCACGGCGGCTACCTGCAACACGCGTATTCTGTCGCGTTCTTTCTCTTCGGCTGAGTTGCTCTCTCGTACAGCCAGTGCTTTCGTTTTCATTACTTAAATACAGCCCTCGCTAAGCCCAGTGTCCGGCGCCCCCCCTCGGCAACATTCGGGTGGGGATGTATGCTACAAGTTTGGTCGTCGCATTGACTTTTGTGAGCGAGAGGGGCACTGAGAGAGATGGAATGTGCAACGCATGATGTATGGGTAGCCTAGCAGCCTAGACTCCTGTTGAGGAAGTATTTGGGCCTGATGGGTAGGGCATTTCGTCTCCCCTGTGCTTCGCGCAGCTTTCCACGCGTGCAGGACATTTGATTACACATAGCAGCACTTCATTGACAACATCACGGCCACGCCCCGGCGTGAACTCTTGGTCCTATGTACGTACGCGTGTGCTCTACCCTGGAAAACTACGGGTGTAGAAGAGGGCTCTCCCTGATGCGTCGTTCTTTGGGTGAGATTTTCTCCGGGGTACTACCGTTTTCCGCCCTCCGTAGCACGAAGCAACGAGAAAAGCAAACGATTTGGAGAGAACCGTCGAAGATAGAGATCAGCGAGACGAGGTATGGTGCGCGTGGCACGCCAAGGTTTGCAGTTGACACTATCTTGGTGAGGGCATTTTCTATGTCTCTACGATGTCCATATACTCATGTTTGCACTCGATCCAACGAACGAAACCAGAGGGAGGGGTGATGTTCATAGTTCCTCGAGGGAGCGGGAATATCATCATCGTCACGAACGCGGAACAGTTTCAAAGCAATTGGTTCACGAATGGAGTCCTCACGTTACCTCCGCTCTACCCTACATCACTCGTGAGAAATGGAGCACCCAGCTATTCCCATCGTTCCAACATTCGAGTCTACCAAGTGTCCTACGGAAAACAATTGTCCATTTCTAAGCTACATGGTACTCCTTGTGAACCATTGATACTTCATACGATACGGAGGGTCAGATGGTTTATACGGCTACAAAGTTCTGACCAACCGGCTTGTACCTGAATCGTATCAAATCGCGAGAAGATCTGGTTTGACGATACGCCTCTGCAAAACATAAACCTTCCGTTGATAACGGAACAGGAACGCTGGGAGGATGGGCGGGTGGGATGAGCAATACCGCGGATGTAGGTGATCTCCGGGAACGCGAACGGCCTATGAAAGCAGCAAAGACCGCTCACACCGACAACCACCGCGGCGACACCCATCACCTCATAGCGTTTTCGAAGAACGCTCCGGGAGATGGTGGCCACCATCGCTCGCAGAAAGGCCTCCCCTCGGTCCAAAAGTCTTGTCCCGCTCGTGTGGGCCTTCGCTGCCGCTGCTGTTGTTGCCGTTGCCGTTCGTGCCGTTCGTGCGTTGCGGTTGTTGTTGGTGTCTTTGCTGGTGCTGGTGCTGATGTTGGTGATGGTGCCATTGCTGATGTTGTTACTGCTGCTGCTGCCTCCGCTGTTACTGCCGGTGGTTGTGCTACATACTCTTGATGGTGTTGCTGCTGTGGTCTTCGGGGTTGCTGGTGCTGGTGCTGGTGGTGGCGATGGTGCTGGTGTTGTCGTTGTCAGTTTTGCTGATGGCGCGGAGCAGCCACGCAAAAGGTGACACCGATAGCCGTGGTTCCGGCGTGTAGGCCGGCCTCATCATCGCCATGCTGATTGTGTACCCATTGGTCGCGGCCACGGCAATGGGGGCTTCGAAGGAGAGGGTCGTGGTATCGTCGATCTC